AAACCATTCATGAACTTTACTGGTTACCATAACCATTACCATTAATGTTCTCAAACCATAAGTTAAAACGTTCTAATATAGTTTTCTTTCCGAAAATGTATGGAGAAAACAAGAATTTTGAATGGTAATGGTTCTTAACAACCCATTATTGGTAAGGTCCACTTCCAAAAAACTATAATACTTAAGGTTAAAACTTTATCATTAAACGTTCATGTAAAGTTCCATAACCATTTCAGTTGAAGTTTAGCAGGGATTATAAACAATTTATAACCATTATCGGTAAGGTCAATTTATGATTCGCGCTTATGCGGGATAGCTTCCATAGATAAGCGGAGGCAACGTAAAATGTAGCCAAACGAACTGTCAGTTAGTGTAACCAAACGAGCATGACGTCATCATGGTGTTGTTTGAGGGAGAAGTATTGTAATATTTTGAGCACCAAACGCTTTCCACACTCCACATTCCGATTTATTTCGCGGACAACGGAAGAACGGAAGATAAAGCAAACCATTCCTCGGTTCATTGTTGCAAAGATTTGCTTTGCACTTCATTTTGAAATTTTGCGCACGAAACAAAACAAAACTGCACAACGAAGAGCTCTATCATGGCATGAACTTTTTTCACGGATGCCAGTAAGATCATTTATTTTTCATGGTTGCCAAAACAACTTTTTGTGCCTCCGCTTATCTATGGAATCTAAAGTATCTATAGTTCCCATAAACTTACGCAAACATATACCTAAATGCATGTAGAAGAGCAGAGCATGAGATCGAAAGAGTGCGATGTTTTTCCTTCTTTTTATTCTATCCGTCGGTGTCGGTGACGTCGATTTATGTTCTTGTTGTTTTATTGCTGCTGCTCAATTTCATATCCATTTTGTGAAAAAAAAATTAAAGGGTTGTGTCCTAGACACGACCTCGGACACGATCGCAGTATGACGCAGAACTATGCAAAAATGGTGTATGTCATGCATTTTTGACTATTATGCTTTATATTATTATTTTTTTTCAGGTATTTCAATGTTTCGGTTATGGTTCAAAACTCGCGACAATTCATGTTAGCATAATCAGACCACCGTTCATATTACGTATAAGATAATGTGTTTAAATTTAATGTAATGGTTAACAATTGACAGAATTTTCCCTACATAACTACATTGGGTTGATCAATGTTGAGCTATTTTGTCACACATTCTTTGTTGATTTGCACCTCAGTATAGTACACAAAAACACCATGCATGTTGTAAAATAAAACAATTCCCAAAAAAATGCGCTTATTTTAGTAGCTCCATCATTAGTTTTAAATTAGGGCTCTGAAGCAGAGAAGAGAGTGAAGGTTTCATTTTATGATAACGCATCAAGCAGTTGTATTTCCTATCAGAAGACGGTACTTTCAAAATTGAACAAAATGTTGGTTCATATGTCAGCGAAGTAGAGGAGGAAGGAGTAAAACAATCATACATACCAATTTGGAGGACAATTCTGACAAAATTATCATGCATAATCATTATGTACTTTACAGTGTGTTCGTAAAATGTTGCAAAATTGAATACTGTGACTTTTCTCAAATCAAACGTTTGGCTTTCAATAAGTAGGTGCTTAGAACCTCGCTTAGAACAACATTAATTGAAAATTGGGGGGATTCAGTAATTAAATTTCAAAGTCAGAGCAAAAGCTCGTATACAGGTTAACTTCCAACATCCCTCCTGTTTTTACATATTCTGCACAAAAAATACTTTCAAAGCCTCGCCCCTGACAGGATTTCCCGCCCTTTTGTTTTATGAATGAGGCGGAGCAGAAAGTATCTTTTGTGCAGAATATGTAATAAAGGATGGACTTCGGATGTTAATCTAATTGCATATAAAGAGGTACCAGGTATGATTTACAGTCAGTTGGTGATAAATCACCAACAGAATAACATCAACATATCGTGAGCGATTTTTTTTCCTGAAATTAGAAGCTCTCGAGCAGTGGTAGTAAACGAGTAAAAAATTAACGGAATTAAACTTTCTATTTTTATTTAATTGTAGTTTGCTTAACAATTATTTCCCAAAAAAAATGGTCGTCAAAGTCCATGTTTGGGAGGGGGGGGGGTATATTTTGCATAAATAACTTTTCCACGTTTCGTATTAGGGGCTGTTCATTAACACGTATACAGTTTTTAGGGATTATTGCCCCCCCTCTAAACTGTCTACGTTGTTAATGAACAGCCCCTTAGTTGAACGGGACCCAAGTCTCCTTCCACCCCATCGCTGGTTGTCAAGGTGATCATGCCGTGATCCACCTCTAACCGCTGACTTGCTCCTGCTCACTTCAGAATGCAGAATGAAGTGCCACGCCGTTCGAAGCGGTAATGAGCAAAGGCATGACAACAGCGCTGTTTTATATCTTTTCAGGTTCAAGCAGAATGATATGCAACCAAGTGGTACTCGATTATGATGACTGGGTTTGGGAAAAACGGTAATTTCATGAAAACAGTGATTAAATTATCATTTGTACATTTTTAAAAAAGTTTGTTTTATGGGAAATTGGAGAAAATATATTTCAGCAGATTTGTAATTTAATATCCTATCGATTGGCGTACTTTGATTTTAATTTAATCTACAGTTAGACAAAGTTACAGGCGTTCAAAACCTAACACTATTTCACCACACATATTTTTTGATTTGCACCCCAGTATAGTCGACAAAGACGTAGTTCTACGTCAAAAAAACATCCGCTGAATGGAGGACGTCAAGTGAGCGTTTCATTGCAGTACACGGTAACCAGCGTAAACACATTAATGTGTAAAATTTCACATATTTCGTGAAAAAAGGGGTCTACTCATAAAATGTGTAAACCCATCAAACGTCAATAGATGTGTATTTTTTACACATTTTTCAAGAATGGTTTTTACTGCAAAATGTGTAAAAAGTAATCATTCAAAGAAATTAAATATGATAAGGACGCATGGTTTTTTTTTTTTTAATATCGGAGTTTTCTTATTTGTGTCAATGATAAAATAAGATCAATCATTATTTAATAATAATCCGGACACCGGAAAATGAAAACTTTAATAATGATTATTTTTCTAGGGCTTAGCTATGAAAATAATATAAATCACTTATCCTCTAGCTTGTCCACCGTTGCTCTGTTACAGTTTGGACCGTAGTTTATCCATTTTTCTGTTAAAATTCGCTTAGGCAAATGGCGTCCATCAACGAAGCAGAAGTTTTTTTTACCCATTAATGAGTATAAAAATACACATTTTATGACTGGTTCTTAAAATGTGTATTTATTTATCTCCAAATTTACACATTTTTTGGCAGCTGCAAATATAAATAAATATAAAAAATGTGTACACACTTAGAAAATAATACCGAACTCGGTTTAATTTTCTACCGAACCTCTTCGGTTACCAACGAGAAACTGAATAAATTGTTTAAAAACATTTTTTTCAGGCGTATTTATCGAATCAGACCCGAATTTCGGTAAAATAGTATAAATTTGACCGATAGAAATGAAGACTGAACCTAAAAGTACGGTAAAGTATCGACATTTACGAATTAGGTACGTGAAAACTGAGAAACTTGGTAAATTGAACCGAATATTCGCTAAAACGTGTTAAACGTCAAACGCTTAACTGTCAAACGTTCCACTTGTGCTCAACTTCATGACGGAAATTTTAACCGAAAACTCGGTTCTCGAAGCTGAGTCTAAAACTAGTCAGCCATTTTTTCTCGCGTGTGCTCGTTTTGACTGTACTTTTCCACGCTGTAACTCGCGTTACGTAAGTTTTTAGTCACTGAAACGGCATAAACTAAACTCGAATCAAGTATAGATTCGGAAGAGTTAATAAAAATAATCAATATTAGCATCTGCCGCATTACATATGACGTAGGTTCACCTTACACAAAAATCAATGATTTTATTAAGCTTTGTGACGAAATAGTACGGCACGTATCAGGGTACCTTGAGGCAGAAACTGAGAATTTTCATCCCAAAACAAATTAAATAAATATATTTCATACATTTCTTTTACAAAACTGGTTTTATTTTTATGAAAATTCTAAGCAACGTATCCTTAATCCAAATGTGAAGTACAAACCGAGCGCTACCCAAGAAAACCAAATTCCGTAATTACAATAGACGGGTCGGTTCGTTTGACAGCGTTCGGTAATCCTTGAGTAAACCGACGTTCGGTTATTTCTGCTTAAATTTATTTTTCGTCAACCGAGATTTTCGGTAACTTTGACAGATTGTGGGTAACAATAAGAACTAACGACAGCTCGGTTATTCCTCTTTGAACCGAACAGACTACCGAACGTTCAGCAGATGTGTATTTTTTTACTCATTTATGTGTTTACGCTGGTTAGAAAAAAAAAATACCCAAAATTACCCATCTCGGCACTATAGTGCAGGAACCCAAAAGAAGGTAAAGTGGGTAAGTAATAAGTTATTTTCATTTACTTGTGTGCAGTTTGTATTGAATTTTCCACTAGATTTTTAACCAAAAGTAAGTTAGTTGTACCCAACAGTAGGTAAATATGATTATACTCAATGTTGGGTTCACACACTTTACTACCCCTGTTGGGTGGTTTTGCTCATCCGTTTTTGACAACATTAGAAGGAGAAAAGGAGACAAACTAGTCAAAAGTAGGTAAAAGTGAACTGGCCGTTGGGTACATGAATCATGAGATGTATTGGGAACACGTGAGCTTCCCTATACATGCAAGCGATCTACGAACACGCTAAGAAAAAAGTATGCATTAATGTTTAAACTTTAACCAGTTTCGAGAAAACCCGCACATATTCATAAAATGAATAAACGCTGTTTACTCATCGGATGAATAAACACGTTTTTCTCGAAAGTGATTAAATTTTAATCATTAATGAATAAAGACGTTTTTTCTCAAAAGTGGTTAAATTGTATACACTGGAAGGAATTTAAATGGCTGATTTCGTTTATTTGAAACATATATTATTGTAAATAACAATCGAATAAAATCCAATAAAAAGTAACGGTTTATTTCTTGATTCTGGTTCGTGTTGCTGTTTGGTCCACCGCCTTAGTGACCTTGTACACGGGGACCAGGGAATACTCCGTACTTCTGCTGCCGGCTGGCCCCCTTGGTTTCAACGCAGAATCCATCATGTGATTCGCGAGGCTGTTCATGTCGCCAATGGTCAGGAGGATACTCTGGTGTGGTGGTGTTGTTTCTGCCATTGATGGTGATTCAATGTTGGGAACATGCTGCTCCTGGCGGAATCTATCTTAATTGCGTACAAAGCAGTGTAGTCCGATCACGGAAACCTTCGCACAATCCGGAATCGGATGTTTCTTTCTTTTCGCGATCCTTTCGTCGACCTTCCCGTTCCGTTGCCCGGCGAACTCGATCCGGATCGTTGTGCTGCCGTTTGAAGCCCTCTGTAATGGGAATCAAAAGTTTTAAAATAACAAAACAATGTACCGTGTTAGATATACTTACTATTATCATCGGCCATCTCTTTGGCCTGATCCCGCACATTATGTCCTGTTTCCAAAGTCGGAAACAGAATCGGAAGAAAACTTTATTTTCGTTCCGGCACTTGATTGCGATGGAAGCCGCAATTCCTGATTCTCACTCGACGATGATGACTTTTTCTTGGAGTTCTCAGCGCACTCTGGAAATGAAAACAAAATTATAAGTTATTTTTAAATTGTAGGTATGTATATTATAATAATACTATAAACAATCTATCTACCTGCGAAAAGTTGATGAATGATGGCCGCTGCGGTTTCGGAAAATAATTGTTGCCAAGTTTTTTTTCAGCCACTAGTGAATATAATTTAGACACTTATGTTGCAAAATGGTTTTCTCTGGAAATGTCTAAATTGTATACACTTTTTTGCTATAAATTTCAACCACTCTATGACAGCTCGAACAAGCTCCCAAAAGTGGTTAAAAAATATTCATCAATGCATAAACTCGGTTTTCCGTGAATTCCTTTGTTTGTCTGATGTTAGAGTTTGACGTGACCATCCCCTCCTTTCCAAACAATTTCCCGCCATTCGCGTTGACGGCACCGTCGAAAAATTTTCTCTTCCAGCAAATATAGACAGTTTCTTATGAGAATTTTCGGTGGAGTGAATGGATAGTACAAAGTTCGCCATGTTTCACGCACAGTCTGACGTTTGCTTATGGATTTTCTCATAGGAGTAAAGAGCTACAGAGTCGCCGTCAACGCCAATTGTGTCTCAGTCGTATTATTCTCCTGTTCTTGTGCTACTTGCCCCTGCCCAGCCAGGATTTAGTCAACCGTCCGAGAGTAGTATCTGAAGGAGGCTTCAGAAACCAGTTTCCTACCTAGATCCTTTCAACCGAAATTGTTACCCATTAACCTCGAGCCCGCCACGAGTAATTGGTACCCAATACTAACCTAGAGATACTGCTATTTAAAATGTAAATCAAACATTACTGATTTTGGCTCCACAAAGTGTCACACACGACTAAACCTAGTAAATAAACGAAATAGTTTAAAAAAAAGACGACCGATGACTGTTTCATTGATATATGATTTTTTCATAAATATGAATCCTCAGTACACGTGTTTTTTATCAAAGGCAAGTGTCACTCGAGCCATTCAAAATGTTCGTTATTTTATAAATTGCTGTTATGGCTCGAGTGACACTTGCATTTGATAAAAAAACACGTCTACTGAGGATTCATGTTTATGAAAAATATCATACATCAATGAAACAGTCATCGGTCGTCATTGAAAAGCAGTACAACTATGTTCTGTCAATCTAATTGAACTGTTATTGGCTCTGTTATCTTGCGAATTTTAGCTATAACGGCCTATTTGCTGATTTTTATCTCTCAATCTATGAAATATACACGAAAACTATGTTTGAACGAAATTTCTAGAACAATATGAGAAACATTATGCCGTAGACTACACATGTTTATATCATATGGGTTAAAATTCGTAGAACAAATACTTTAAAATTCTTCACTTTTTAAGATATCTTCGAGCATGAAACTAAGTCACACTTCAATAAAATCACTTTGAATAATCAACTTTTGGTTACAAAGTTGATAGATAACACATTAAGCTTTGCTATGAAAGTTGTTACAGCAGTTTTCGTTGTTTCAGTCTCGAGATACAAATATTATAAGCCGTAAATTACCTTAAAAACATAAAATTAACTTGAAGCACCTCTAAATCATCACCGATTTTGCTGAAAATTTGCACAGAAGTTCAAATTAACATGACGAACACTAATCACGGTTTACCCATTGCATTCCTAACATTTCGTTTTAAATGAACAGGTCTAATGTGTATCTTAAACATCCATCTTGAAGGAGGAAGATATGAAATCACAATTATGTGGAGTTACTGAAAAATAACAGTTTGATGCGCGGAGAGGCTGACAGGATCGGGTCATAACTGTAATGTGAATATTAGGAAGATTTATCATCATCAAACTATTCTTGAATTAACCTGGAAGAATGCTTGTGAATAATTGTTATACAGATAAATTTTTTTTTTTATTATAGTCACTTGAACACTCTTGGGTCATTCGTGACTTGTCCGGGGGTGAGATTTGAACTCGTGACATTGGCGTGAGAGGCATGTATGTTAACCACTACGCCGGGGTCGCCCCACAGATACAAATGAATTAAATTCATAAACTAAATTGTTCAAACAACAACTCCAGCCTGTAGAAAAGCTGAAAATAGGGAATCTTTACAATGTGGATCCTACGCTATTCCACTATCGATGGGCTGAAAGTATTCAGTCTAGATTAATAGATTTAGCTATTTGAACCTAAGCCGGAAAAGAAAGCAAAATATACGAATCACTTCCACCGTAGTAAAGATGTACCACGTACCAAGCAATATGTTCGTCATATAAACGTTTAAACATACACTAGAGAAAATCAAATGATGTTACGTTGCTTCTTCCAGTTATGTTCTGATCCTGTTTTAAATATTTATCATTGAGTATATTATAATAATATAGGACATGTGATTTATTCAAACTCAAACTTCACGGTGGTGCCCTTTACACAAGGATAAACCTCTACTACCGATGATCTTTTAAACCTAGAGACAAAAAAGCTACAAAACAGCGCTTATGCTTTCATTAAATTCTACTTTTACGCGACGTTCTTTGTTTCGATTTGGTCTTTACATAAGACGGGAACAGAATCCATAAAACTTTCGCATAATTGGGCTACCGTGCCCCTTTCTTCACGCTTGCCGATTTTACCAGCGTACACAAATTACACATCTTTTAAGCTATCTCGACCTAATTCTATTGCGTTTTAAAACGACTGTTTTCTCTTTCATATTTCGTCGTCAAAACCACCAAACCCACCAAACCCACCACGATCCGCCGTGACTACCGTCAGTCTTCAACCACGGTTCTCATGATCATGTTAAGGGCACACCTAACAACACAACAAAAACTAATCGGTCAAGTGCCAAGCTTGCATGTTCGATCGTGACATTTATTTTCTTATCGAATCAAGCTTCAACTTGAAAAAAAAAATCATATTTTCGTCCTTTTCTCTGACAAACGGGAACGATGAAAATAAATCTCTATTACTCCCCCGAAGGGACGCATCCGCTCCCACAAACAATGCATCCGATCCCCAATCCGGTGCAACCAGCATCCCGCCCACGCATGTCAACACCACCATCAGATAGGGGAAATTTCCCCTACCTGATAGCGGCACAGTACGCGCGGGTGAGCCACACCAGAAAAATGCACTGTCCACAAAAGCAGACACGTCCCCTCGAAAATGCAATCGAGAAATGTAATAGAAAAATCTTCACCTGTAACGTACTCACCAAATAAATGTATCCGGGAGCGCATTCCTGATGCTTATTTTTAATTTTTAAACAATCCCTCCTTAAGCGATTCCAACCGCACAATAGCCAAATACCCATCACTTTTCTTTTTCAAGTCACTTTGTGCACAAAAGCAATGCACATCGTAGAACCTAATAATAGATCAGCGCGGTCGAGTCATACCGGCAACAAAGCGAGAGGACACCAGGCACCTAAGCAACATCAGGACAAACATCAGCACAAACGATTCTAAATCAAATTATCGCGCCCGGGACACAAAAGCTATTCAAATGCGAGCACCAAAAAACTACACGCCAGCCCGAGCTCTGAAAAAATAAAAGCACGCAGCGGAGCAAAAACACACAACCGTTCTCTAACACTTCTCAAAGCATTGTATCATATAAAGCAATACATGCACTGAGAAAATTTCAAAGATTGTTTTTATGTGTCTCACACATGAATTTTTGCAATGTGATCAACAAATGATATCGATGTGTCGGATACATACTTAATATGTGTACACATAAAAGCTATAGTTATTCTATAGCTTTTAGCTTTATACTATTTAGTTGAAACATAAATTTCATGTGTACTTCTGAGTGGACTCTGTTTAAGTGTGGTCACATGAAAATCATGTGGAATTTTACATGGAAATTCGTCAATAACAATATGTGGAATTTTTTAAGGTGATTCCTTGTAGAGTCCACAATTGGCCGCCAAGTAGGCTATACTTCCAGTTCCACTTTGAATTTCCAATTATACAAATCTCGGAAATCAGTGCTTCATTTTACCAGAAATTGCTACTTCATGTATGCTGCAGTGCAGCAAACGTGGAGTAACAGTTTTAATGGTATACGTGTCGTAGAAGCTGATATTTGTGCACTTAAAGCTTCAAAGTGGTTACGAGAATAAGTATCTCACAGCGAAACACCTTAAGTGTGTATGTTTATTGAGATACACTCAAAGATAAATTAAATCAAAAAAGCTTAAAAAGTATGCAGATTCCCGCTCACGGTAACCAGCGTAAACACATTAATGTGTAATATTTCACACATTTCGAGAAAAAATGGGCCTACTCATAAAATGTGTAAACCCAGCAAACGTCAATAGAAGTGTATTTTTTACACATTTTTCAAGAACGGTTTTTACAGAAACATGTGTAAAAAGTAATCATTTCTAGAACTTAAATATAATGGGTGCGCATGGTTTTTTATTAACTTCGTAATTTTCTTATTTGTGTCAAAGATTAAATAAAGATTGCTCGAATACAATAATATTTTCGTAGTTCTTTCATTTTCCTGTTGTACTTCACTGACATACACTGGAGTCGCTTTTTACGTGGTTTTTTTTACACGTTTTTTTTTTACGCGGTTTTTTTTACGCGGATATCGGAATTTACGCGGTTTTTTACGCGGATTCCGGAATTTACGCGGTTTTTTTTTACGCGGATTTTGGTTTTTTTTTACGCGGATATCAGAATTTACGCGGTTTATCATTGTACACCAGAGTCGCTTTTTACGCGGTTTTTTTTACACGGTCTTTTTTTACGTGGTTTTTTTTACGCGGATTTCGGAATTTACGCGGATTCCGGAATTTACGCGGTTTTTTTTACGTGGTTTTTTTTTACGCGGGACGTATCACCCACGTAAAAAGCGACTCCAGTGTATATACAAATTACGTGCGTAAACAAGGCAGGATGCAGCAAAGTTTGAAGTATTTTTTTACCCATTAATGAGTATAAAAATACACATTTTTTTACTGGAACTACATTCTTAAAATGTGTATTTTTTACACATTTAAAGATCCCCAAGTTTACACATTTTTTGACAGTTGCATATAAATATAAAAAATTTGTATTTTTATACTCATTTATGTGTTTACGCTGGTTACCGTGCTCACCTTATTGAGTCCGAGCCATGATTACTTCGGCAGTGGTCATGTATGATTAAATTCGAAATAATCTTTTCAATATTAAATTTTATTCTTTTTCAAAACTGATATATAATCAAAAAAGATTAAAATTAAATCAAAAATTATTAAAATAGAATCAAAAATGATTAAAATTTATTCAAAAAAATTAAAGGGTTGTGTCCGACCGCAGTATGACGTAGAACCTATCTATCTCT